TGGGCACTCTTCATGTAACTTGGGTACACTTGGGGTATTGTACCCCGTTACACTTACATTAATGTACTTTTGCTGTGGATACATATCGCAACGGTTCGGACATCCCAACATTTTCCGACAGTTTGGGATGTCGGCGATAGACAGTACAAAAACCTTAAAACATAATAAACATCATCGAAAAGCATACATCTGTGTTTCGTTTAAGTTCGAAACTTTTCATTGGCTGGAAATGGCCTATAGAGGTCTGTAGGCCGAGAAAAACGTGTTTTTGTGATTTACATATATTGTGGGCTTGGAGCCACGTACGCTACAGCCTCCAAATTCATTAATGAGACCAGATCACCTCATGAGAGGCCTTTATTCGAGTTGTATTCAATTCAGTGACAATTTAGTGACATTGAATCATCTTACTTAACCATACCCTTAGGTATTTTAACTAGCCAATGGCAGAATGGCAAAACATTCCGATAAACACTATTCGACATCATTCTTCTTTTTTGTGGCTTAACGACACGGAGCTCCCCCCCCCCCGCCCACAATTTCGACGACGAAGCTCAAAGGATGAGCGCAGGGCTTGCCCTGAGGAGCGGGATCGATACCCACCGTCGCCATTACACTAGAGGACGGGGGTCCCTCAACGAGAGTGCGTTCAAGTTTTAGCGCAGGCAAGGGGGAGCCGTGCCATGGAGTGCACGTGCGGTGGAAAGATGGTGACGTGCAGCACTTGAGGGGTGGCAGTGGTGTGAGCTGTAGGACGCGGTGCGGCAGGATAGGGAGCTGGCAAGCGTACAGCGGAGTGACATGAAGAGCGGCAGCGGTTTCGAGCAGCGTGTCGTGGAAGAGGTGGCGAGTAGTAAAGCGCAGTGCAATGGGGCGTACGGTGCAGCAGTTGTTAAGGGCGATGCTGAGCAGGGCGGTGCACAGTAGTTTGACTTGCCGAGCGGCGGCGGCGGTGGCGGTCGTGTGTGGAAGGGGCCGTGGGGTAGGGGTCGCGCCGTGGTGTGCGGTAGGAGCCGCGTAGCAGCGAGTAGTGGCGCAAATGGTAGCAG